ACATCCGTTTGGACGTCATCCATTCGGATGTCATCCATCTGGAGCAATCGTGAATGGCGGCCTTTACAGTATTCTAAGCCTCAAGATTCATCCCTTAAAACACTACTATTCATCAGAAGGTGAATGAGCAATGTGAAACTTTGATATGGAGAGAAATCAAAGAAGTTAAACCAACAAATGCCAAGACAAGGCAAGGAACTGTCAATATGATTAAATATAATGAAGCAGGATGCATTGCAATGGTTGCAGAACGGTGATTAATCTAAGCAGTGAGAGACATTCAATTAGTACACATTACAAGAACAAAAAAAAAGGGAATATCTTAAAAAATAAATTAATGAGCTTGAAACAAACAGTAAGAACAAAAATATTACAAACCTATGCAGAGGCACAAGGAAATTTCAGAAACGTTAACATAAAACATATTTGGTAAAAGGTGAGAATGTTGATCTGTTCGCAGATTCCCATAGTATTTTCAATAGGCTGAAGACTTGCTACTGAGAGTACAGTACATGGGGTTAAGGATGATGGGCAGAATTAAATACCATCAGCCTAGTTCTTTTGAGGCTGAAACTGCTACTGAAAATTTGAGAAGAAAAAATTGCCAGATGATGCAACGTCCCAGAAGTCCTTTACGACTAGTTATTATTGATAAATATCACTGTCAAATATATACCCTACATTCTTCTATCAATGGTAACTCCACAAGTAGACAAAATTATTCAGGACCATCAGCGTGAATTTTCTTGTAGCAAACTACCGATCAAATATTCTGTATTCATCAAATATTGGAGCAAAACTGGAATTAAAATGGAACAGTACATCAGCTATTTATTGACTTCAAGAAGGACCACGATTTAGTTATGAGAGAAATATTACACAACATTCTCCAAGAATTAATATTTTTTTTAGGGTTTAAAGAATGCATCGTGTTGCGTGTACTGAGACTATAATCACTTAACTTATGTTGGTAAACTGTTAATGAATGAATCATTGATTTGCTGATTAAAACATGTTTAAATACAACTTACAGGAAAGTCTGTATCACAAAAATGTCTCATTGCCAGAATGCAAGACAAAATGATAATACAAATGTAGCCAACAAATCTTTTGAAAATGTGGCAAACATTCAAATTTCAAGAATGACAGCAAAAAATGAACATTGCATTCACAAAGAATTAAGAACAGAATAAATTCAGGGAATGCTTCCTATTATGCAATTGAGAGTATTTTTCATTCTACCTGCCAAATAAAAACGTAAGAATTAAAATATACAAAACACTAATTTTACCTACTGTTCTGTTCTGTATGGGTGTGAAACATTGCCTAACATTAGGGAATAAAACAGACTGAGGGAAATGAGAATATCCAAGCCGAAAAGGCACGATGTGACAGTCATAAGAGGCTGGAGAAAACTGCATTATAAGAAACTGCATGACTTGTACTCTTCTCCAGATATTACTACGGTAATTACATCAAGAGGACAGGATGTATGGGGAAGGTAAGAAATATGTGTAAAATTCTGGTTTACAATCCTGAAAGTAAGAGGCAGCTCAGAAAACCAGAAGCAGATGGGAGAATAATATTAAAATTAATCTTAAAGAAACTGTGAGGACATGGAGTGGATTAATTTGACCCAGGACAGGAACCAGTAGAAAGCTCTTATAAGCACAGAACCTTTGGGGTCCATAAAATTCAAGGAATTATCAACCAGCTTAGTAATCATCAGTTTATCAAAAGGGACTCTGCTTTGTACAGGGACGAAGGTAGGCACATCACTATCACTACAATTTCACTACTAGCAAGCATGTAAGTCAAATAACAATGACCGCCTTGTGGAATGTTGCACCATTTAGTCTAGCAGACGTTTCAGAGGTGCCTGCTGCCTCCATAAACCACAAACTGCCAACAGACCACACAGTGCAATATCCCAGAAACAATCATCTTCATACTTGCTGCCATGGGAACCTAAAACCTCACCACATAAAACAAATATCTGAGCTATGTACACGACAAAGCCGGCTCGTACTCACCGTCCCTCTCGTGGCCTGACGAAGCAGTCTGCGTCTGCTTGGCATATGTTACCATCTCACG